CTTAGTAAATAAAGTTAGTAAAATCGATGCGTTGCATTTTTTCAAGCCTCGAAATCAGCTGTTATTTTAATATTAGGCCTATTTGCAAAATAAACTTCACAGCCTTCAAAACCTTACACAATTTTGAAAATGTTAAAAGCGTCCATATAAGAAATTTCGAACGTCATAAATGTGACGTCATAAATGCACATATCCCATTGAATAAAATTTGGAATTTAAGTGGGATTCTGAACATTATTTAATTAGTTATCTCAATTTCAACGAACTGTGTAAGAGTAAAGTGTTACGTCTTACAGCGTATTTTACGATGTCGGAGTATATTTAACTGAAAATATATGGTAGATCCCATCAAACTTTACAAGGAAAAATAATTTAATTGAAATACGAATAAAAAATACTTCAAAATGATATGTCAAACACATAGTTAGCTTTTTAAATAAGGCTGAGATTAACCCTTAAAGCTGAGATTAGCCCGTATTTTCCATATTGTCCCCAGATCCGTGCACATCATTATATTTAATAATTTTCCCCCTAGATATCATGAAAAAGAACAATAGGCCCCTGCGGGGCAAATAACATGGTCACATATTTTCAACAAAAATAGTTCGTCCAAGCGCATCGCTTATTACGATGTGTCAAACTTGTCGTCTAACCGCTGTGTCAACTGCATCGGCTAGTAGCATCACAGGAGTTTGAGTGCAGTAAACCATGATGTCTTTCAAAAGGATTGTATGAGAGTAAATGCGCTTGGATTAGCTATTTTTGTTGAAAACACATGAGCATACTTTACTGTGCAGGGCTTATTGTTCTTGTTAGTGATACCTGGGAGAAACTCATTAAAATATCACACAACTCACTCGAACCGCGGTCATACAAAAATACAGCCCTAATTTGTTAAATGGGCAGTTTTAATGCTGAGATATAACTCAAACAAATTGTTAATCGTGTGAACAGGAAGAGTTAAATGAAGAAGATGGTTCGTTTTTCGTACGATCGTAACTTACGATTCCGAGAAAACCATTTGTCTCTGTTTTGATGAACAATGACTTGCGACCAAATCGTAAGTTACGATGGTTTCAAAAACAATCAAGATATCGGTCAAGAGAGCAAAAGCTATTTCAGTGTTGATTATATGTTTTTTTTTAAGTTAAACTATGACTATCATTTCAAATACAGGTCAACTGATGGTCAATCAAACCTGAAAACCAAGAAATCAAGGAGACAAAACATTAGTACATTTTATATAAATTATTTTTGTGTACGTTGAACCATTGGGCTCTTCTAATTAAGGGAGTTTCCGGACATGATTTTTGAATAAAACATGAGACCAGATAGTTTATGACCCGAAGAACAAGCAATCCAAAATATATAAAAGTTTTGCATCTGATAGAAACTGAATAGGATTATTTGTACGGATGCCCTTTTAGGGATAAACTTTCATCCAACATATAATTTTTCAATATCAGTAAAAATAGCAAGAAAGTAAAGAAAATAGGATTAAACTCTATTTCGTGGCCTGACTACGTCGGTAGAACTTGAAATATAAGAGTTGCCTGAATATTAGGAGTCTTACTTACCCTCTGGAGGTTAGAACACACATTTCAATGAAACCATATCAGCTTTGTTTTGTTCATGATGAAGCATAAGGACAGAACTTGATTGAAATTTGTGTTAATGCTTTTTGGACTTTTTCATTTTTCTCGTGTTTACTTCCGGGAAGGGTTGCCCCTATCACGAAATAATATATTGAAATTGAATTTTAATTTTGTGACATGTCATCCAATCATGTCTGATGTGAAAATAATTAGAATATCATAAAAAAAGTGCGGTCGTTTGCAGACGAGTTTAGGACAGGGCAGAGGATGGCCTGTTCTAAGATAGAAGAAACTGCATGATATACAGTTAAACTATTGGTCTGAATGAAATGCTGCGCAGGATGTATGAATGGGTAGTCTCGTATTAGTCTATTAATATAGAAGGACCTGTTCATGATGCTTTATAATTTAGACCAAAGTATAGAAGAATACACACACTTATAAATTATAAAATCAACGAACAAACATTCAATTTTCACAAATGTTCGGTAATTTATCGTACTGAAACTTCCGGAACTTACAATGAAATCATTCATTTTCACGGTCCATATTTTACCTCTTGGATATTGTGCTAAATGTCTAGAGGGTAAGACTCATAATCTTTAGGTAACCCTATATTTCTACCGACGATAAGTTCTACAGACAATGTGATGACGTATTACACAAAAGCTATACGTATAGGTATAAGGAATCTTAGGTTAGAGGCAGGACTTTTGTATCACCCCTCGTATTGAGAAATTGGACATTTTAGATGCCTCTAAATAGCCCCTATCACCTTCCTGTATAGAGGGTGGTCCAAAAAATGGGACAGTCGTATTTCAAAAATAAATATCGATATTCTTGATGAAACCATGTCATATTATATATCAATGGATAGGAAATGTACTCATCTTTAATTTGGTATATCATAAGTTCATATTTATTATATGTCTGTCAACCAGCGTCCATAATATAAATGACGTCATTTTCGTTTCAAAACGGGGTTTCCAAAACTTGCTAAAACCAAGTTTTATTGTCAACTTTATTTACATAAACAGAAGTTCAATATAACCACCATTTTGATCAATTGTAGCCCTTAATTTTGGCCTGAACTGGTCAATAGCATCATTGATATGCTGTTGAGACAATGAATTTCACTTCACAATAATTCTTTCCTTCAGGGACTATAGATGTAAAGGATTTGTGGTACACTAATTCTGTTAGTTCTCCCCACACGTGGTAGCCGCAGACGTTGGGTGATTAGGTGATCTGGGATCGCAGAGATTAAGGGGGGGGGGGGGAATCTAGGCACATTTTATTTTAAACATTTGACACTCTTGTGGGATCTATTGCTTAGAGCCCCATCTTGTTGGAAAATATAATGATTCGAAAATGAGCTCATATGAGGATGGTCCAAAATCAACATAATTGGATCATCCGACATCAACGTCAGCGACGACCACATATTGGGAGAATTAACAAAATTGGTTTACCATGAACATCTACTCAGTCAGTTATTAAGGATAGAACTGTTGAGTGAAAGTGAAATTCATTGTCTCAATAGCATATCAATGATGCTATTGGCCAGTTTAGGCCCAAATTGAGGGCAACACTTTATCAAAATGGTGGACATATTGAATATCTGTTTATGTAAATAAAGTTGACAAAAAACTAGGATTTTGCAAGTTTTGGAAAACCTGTTTTGAATTGAAAATAACATCATTTATATTATGAACGCTGGTTGAAAGACATTATAATTAATTTGAATTTATGATATACCAAATTAAAGATGAGTGAATCCCCTATCCAATGTGACATGTTTTCATCAAGAAAATCAATATTTATTTTTGAAATACGAGTGTCCCATTTTTGGACCACCCAATATATTACAAATATCTCTAAATTTATTAAGATTTCTCTTGAAACTTTTAGATGTATGGTACGTGAATATATTGTCAGATGACCAATTTTCAGGAATATACCTTTATCACTCAGAGTTGTTCTATATTATTTCTGTACAATTTGGACACCCCGTATTTTTCCATAGAACATTGAACTGTGTGGTATTTTGATTGATACTTGTTTGCATTGATCAATTTGGATTGTACGAAAACTATTATAAATAAAGATAAACTTGTTTTTAGATTTCCAATTCAACATTTTGGAAAGCTTTATGGTATTCTGTTTACTACGGGTTGTATTGTAAGTTTGCTGCAGTACCCTCTGTTTATCTGGATCAAAGGACCACTAAAGAATGACTCCCTTTGGGTGAGTTATAATCATGAAAACCCAGTTTGTCCTTTAGTTATACGAGCCATCATATTCGCTATATAAAGTGACCCCGTTGTTTTTAAAGTATAACTTTTTGCCAAATCAATATTTTACGAGTCGCAATTTTTTATTATGAACATTTTCTTCCTCTTTAAAAATTAGTTTTGCACTCCTATTGTTTTATTCGAAAATGTTTATTTTTGAAGAATGAGTCAGGCCATTTGGTCCATTACTTAAATGTTTGAGAAATATGGTTTTGTTTTCATTACTGTTTAAGTTATATTTGATGAGAATATGCACTTTTTCATGAGTTTTTATCCATAATGAACCCCCTGCTGCGAGTATAAAAATAAGCATCCTAACAAAGAAAAAATAGTTATTACCATTGAAAAAAAATCTACAAAGTAGAAACAACTTAGAGTAGAACTTCAATGTTGACCGGCTTTTTTTCTTGAAAAAAAATAGATGAACGATATATTGATGAATAACAAAATATGCGGAAATATGAAAATATAAGCGTAAATGCCAAAAGGGAAGGGTGACTAAAAATTTTAAGGAAACCCAACAAGAAAAGCAAACTGTAAGTGTAAATCTGTCATAAGAAAAGAAGACCCTATACATGTATATCCCAAAACCATGATCTAACGTGAAAAGAAACAATGTCTAACATCCCCCTCCCCCTCCAATCGAGAACCAATATCACAATCCAGGACCAGAACACCAAAGGAACACCTTGATTGTTTTGTTATTTCTGTTAAATCTTTTACACCAAATTGGAGATGATTGAATGAAGTATATGTGGAAAAAGTTTGAACATCCTACTAATAAAAAATTTACAAGGGGGTGCCCTTTTGACTCCCCCCCTTAGGTGTTGGTGTGATTATTTTTACCTTAGGGCTTCTAGGGTTAAATACAAGTAAACTATTTATAGTTTCAGAAGGCCATCGTCCAGGAAAGTAACCTACGTTTTGTACGACATGGCGTGACACACGAAGTGTGTGCGCTATGAATAATATAACAATAAGAAATTTGGTTTTTCCAGGTCCATATTCTTCTACTTTGTTCTGCTGCTATTTCGGTAATCCATCCCATTTGTCTATGGATTTATTGTCGAAGGAGCGATCGTCAACTATACCCTCATAAGATGAAAAAATCAGAGGCATCGATGTAGGGAGATTTACCACTGTGCAAAATCACTACACGTTTTTACATTCTCAACTTTCTTAACAAATCGTTGAGACAAAGGAAATTCAGCTCTCTAGCTTATACATCATTAAACATAAGACTTGCAACACTTACAGGAGCAAATAGATCAAATGATTTCTAATTGTCTGACTTTGATGAATTCAGAGACGATATGAAGCTACTCATAAAGCAATCTATCGGCAAAATTCTACAAAGGATTGGGCTGGTCTGGGTCGACCCTTGTGGAAAATATGATTCTAGAATTCATGCAACAATAAATGGCGCAATTGATCGACCCACTGAAACTTTCGGTGCTGCTGGACTCATTGGCAACGCATCTGCTTAAACATTTGCATAGCTTTTGCTTTTTTCATGGGTCCATTTTCAAGCTCATAATCATTTGGTTTTCAGAAGATGGTCATCACCTTCCCTTGGTTCCACTCACTTATTATTCTATGCTTTATTTGTGAAACACTCATTGCCGTCCACACACTGCTGCAAGGCAATGCCCCCTTGCAATCTAGTTTCACTTGATCAAACTTGATGTTTTGACCTCGCTATTTTCAGTTTGAGCGTTGTGGTTGACATTGAAACGGTGCAATCAAATCTTCAACACTAGTGTAACTCGATATTAATTAAACTATAAAAATCATGGATTTTGATCAAAGCATGAATTTTGAAAAATAAAATATACATTTCTTTAGCTAAAATTGCTTGAATCTGTGTTAAAAGCTAAAAATGCAAAATATTCTATACATATGACCATTGGTGTAAAACCTTAATAATCGATAAATTTTCAAAACACAAGATCTGGTTCATCAGTCTTGAATTTCTATTTAGTTTAAATATTTTACTCTTTTGTCAGATGTCCTATACTACCAATAGCTGAGACCAAGACGCCATGGTGTACTTCGACTCTTATCGTTGAAATACTCCCAGTTTCCAAGCTGAGTCTTTGCCACATTGAAACCGGAAGTTGAAGCGACCTGAAATTAAAAATTAAAATCCACTTAAGGTGTCACTACGGTGTTTTTTAATTCTTTAAAAACGAAGCCATGCCTACTTCAATGATGTGTATAGTAGGTTTAAGTGCATGTGCTGTGGCCATTTGAGGTATGTATGCAAAGCAAGAAGTTCCTAAATGAACCATTCTTAGAAAAAATTGCCAGAATATCCCGCAAACTGGAATTAGTTTATTCGTTAATTTTCTTAGGTGAAGCAGGAATTTTACCTAAAAATGAGTCCCTACGTTGGCGTAGTGATATTTAAAAATCGAGACGCAACCCCTATGTTAAATATAGTGTCAAGATGAAGGTTATGTATAGGGGAATGCAGAAATATAATCATTGTATGGGTTTTCCGTTAGAAAATGGCGATATGTACCCCAAAACTTGACTTTTGTGAATTTTTTTTCAATATTTTTCAATGAATTACCGTAGTGACACCTTAACATGAGCATTCAACTCACTCTACGATAATGACATATATATTTTACAAGTAAATCTCACTGTAAGGGGACATGACCTTATCGGTATATTCTGTAGGTTAATCTAGACAAAATCTAGCATTAAACAGTTAAAAGACTTGCAGTGTTTAGACCTTTCAGGCCGTGGCAAAAAATGATTGTTATAAAATTGTTTTATAGACACATTTTCAATTCAAAATTGCCGCTCATAAACCTTACTTAAGATTAAAGTTGTACTAAAACCAATTAAAGAATCTCTTAATATTTCTTTTTAGCACAAATAGCATCCGTTTTGTTATGTTGACTACAAAGCTTGTGATATTTCCCCACACGACACGAAAATTATTAAGATAGGACTGTCAACCTCTGAAATGTTGTTATTTTTGCGCACTTTCTGAGGTCACCTGACCATGACGTATCGTGTGCCAAGTTATTCTGGCGCTAAATCGAAAAGTTGTTGTTGCAAACAACTACGAAGGCTGAACCAAAGTGGATATAAACATTAGTTTCACATTCGCACGCATCCGAATAGCCAAATAAATAATTTTAATTGATTGAACTTCACAAAAATAAATTCTTGAGGAAAGAGCACTGCAATATTATTCATTACATATTCAAGGAATTGATTAAAATGCATTTGTGAATTCGAAACTGTATATCGATAACTGAAAATGTTAACCCAATAATTATTTTTTTGGCCTTACAGCATTACAGTCGGGTTGAAAAATTTTAATCCCCAAACACTGGCAATATCTGCGGTTGTATAACTTATGCCTTGGTAATGCCTGGGTCACATATGCTTCGATCCATCAGTCGGCGCTCGGCCGATTGAGTATTTTGTTCAAAATTGAATACAATTGAACAAAATACTCAATTGGCCGAGCGCCGTAGTGAAAATCGGGGCAAAAGTGACCAAGGCATTACATGCTTTCAATAGCGTTTCAACTCGACTGATTCCGCACTCAATTGCAATCATGATCATGCAATTAATTGGCTCAACATTACAGTGAATGACTCGATTTTTAATTTTTATCTACGAAATCGTATTTCACGGCAAAATTGTTTCAACCACACACGTCATGTCACGTGACGTAAAATTTCTGCTCTGAAAATGAAATGAGTTTTGCCTCGAAAACAGACACGTGCTGACTTTATATCCCCGATATCATGATAAAATGAATTTTTGGAATTGTTGATCACCATCGTAAAGTGTGGCTTTCATACGGTAAGCTATCATTAATAATATCTCTTATTCGAGTAAAATGGTTTGAGTACAACTTTGAGCATTATATCATATCTTTCAAAAATACCATACTGGAAATATAAATACTGAAATAGGGTGTGACTTGACGACTTTTGTGGCGCAATAAATAAAAATTCCGCCCCAGAAAGATTCTGTATTCCATTTTTGTGTTGCTACACTCACTTCCATAATTCGATTAGATTTATTATTCATTTACCCATACATGTACCTTTAAATTTACCTATTATTCCGGGTGTCCCAAAAATTGAGACACTTCTTGTCAATTAAATTCACTGAAAGTTTGTACAAAGTAGCCTAAGAGAAGCATTAGTAAATGGTAAAATATTAAAAAGATCAAGTAAATATATATGATAGCACCTGTCAATCAGACAAAATAGCTAGTCTGTGTGTCATGTCTATTTAATTTATTCCATTCTTCCCAAATATCCACAATCCATTCATTCTAAAAATTCACTGGATGCGATATTGTTAGAATTAATACGGAAAGTATTTTTGCATGGAAAAAGATTAATACTTGACTGTAACATAAATATTGGTTTTTTTGATATACTTCCTCTAATCCAAACACATACACACACAATTTATCTCTTATATATTCATAGCGCTAAGAGAAGATACATTGAAGTGCCTCAAGAAAAGTTTTCAAAGTATTTGGCTTTTCAATTGCTGATGAATTATTCAAATTGCTGCCCATTTTTTGGTCAAACACTATCAAGTTTACATTGCATTGCTCCGGTATGGGTCTCTTGACATGGTATCTTGAATTTCTTTGTTCTCATATAACATTTATGACTTGATCATTTCATATTGCTAACGGTACTATTGACTAGAGTCCATTTCACTGCTTCATTTCGTCAGTAGAACGGCAAAAATAAGAAATTGGGAGACCATTGTGCAATAATATATGGAAAAGTATATTCATAATGTAGATGAATGACATTTGTATATTTCAGATTTTTTAGTTTTTTGTGCAATAAGCCTGTGCCGTCTTGTAATTTGAAGAATTTCAGCCATGTTAATCTTATTGAAAATAACATGGCAGAGAAACATCCAAATATAAGAGGCCACACACTTTATAAGCCAAACTGGAAGCAATCCAAGATATACGAATGTCATTCATGTACATTATGAATATATTTTTCCATATATTATTGCACAATGGTCTCCCAGTTTCTTATTTTTGCCGTTCTACTGACGAAATGAAGCAGTGAAATGGACTCTAGTTTGTACGAAAATGCTTGCCAAGTGTCTCATTTTTGGCACACCCGGTGTGAAAGAAATGATGGTCCCCCAGGGATTATGGTCCCCTTTCTCAACGGCCTTTACTGGTCCTGATTGCGTGTAAGATAATGAGGGGAAGAGTTGTATTTAGGTCACCACATAAATCAATGGAGAGTAGGACCATATAATTTGATAGGACCTCCTACCCTTTTATACCTGTATATGAATTTGATAACTTGAACACTTGCAATTCGTAAGGGTCACTGTATGAACATAAAAGAGAATGTGATTCGACAATATCCTACCTTAGTATGAAGTATTTAACAACAACTTCCGGTGCAACAAGCACTGTTCCGTACTCCATTTTCTCCCCGTGATGTATAAACCGTCTAAATCCCGCTTCTAGTCTCGCAGAATCTCGAAACTCTACATAGCCTCTGATATCCATTAATGGTAAAGCTGTTTCGTTCACTACAGGGTCGGGTGTCCCAGGATATCCTCCATCTAGCAATGAATCCTGGGAAATCACTCCATGTGTGACTCGAGATATCTCAATGGCAGATCTTTTGCTAGAATGATCCTCTGCATGTATGATTCTGACTGTTCGTTGTTGGTATATATCTCTTATAGCAACGGCTGTCTGACTCATTTGACGAAGACCTAAAATGGACTTGAAACTGGACAAGGATCTCCGACAGAACCTTCATACTTAATTTTGTACAAGAAAATAACATGTACAGGTATAGCAATTTTTTAGCAAAAATGTTACTTTCCAGCTGAACCTTAAATCAAACTGAGATCAATGATTGCGATCAGATTCAAAAAGGTACAATGTCAGCGGCCAGTTGCTGGATTGCCAAAATTAAATAATTTCATTAAACTGACTGCCCAATTTCAGAAATGACCAATACGATTTGGTTGCAGAACTTACCATAATTACCATAATCTTAAAATACTCACCTTTAGGTGTTATTTGACCACCCTTAGATTCTCCTCCAACGACAAGGGTGATGTGTGTCTTGTAGAGAACTGTTCGGTTAATGTTCTCCATTCTACAAAGAATATAATTTAAGTACATGGATTCAATTTATGCTTTATCTACCAAAACAGGTAGGTCACTCACATTTTATAATACTTTTTGACCAAGTTGATATATCTTTCAAGAGTTTAATGAACATACCAACAAGGGGGGGGGGCCCAAATTTCAGGTCAGAGAAAAAAAAATTGGGCCCCTAAAACCCAAAAGTGAGACCAAATTTTGAGGCCCTTTTTCTTTCAAAATTTGGCATGTAATTAAAAACTAAGGCCTTAAAAGGTCCAGTAATGACCAAAAAGGCCCACTTTTTGGGGCGTAAGGCCTTTTTTTGGCCCAAATTTGTTTTAGGGCCTAATTTTTTGGGCCCACCCAGGGGGGGGGGGGGCGTGTCCCCCCCCCCCCCTAATCCGCCAATGCCTTCTGATGAAATCACAGATATCAATATTCGATTGATGGACCCCTGTGTCAGTGTGTCATATTAAAAAGCGTTTGCTGGGATTGGGGTTAACTGTACACAAAAAAACTGAGTGACACTAAATTTTGATTTTCATTGTATCAAGTTAACGTACTTATCCCAATTGTTATTCCAGTTGGTCGTATTAGAAGCGTCGAGTTCTTGATCTGATGGCTCGATTTTGTGTTCTAGTTGGCGTATCTTATCAGATATAACTCGTATCTTTTGAAGTAGCTCATCAACTTCAATTTTATTTTCATCCATTTTTCTGGGGTGTTTGATTTGCGCTGTTTTGTCAAGATACGGAGGCACGGGGCTGTGGTGGATTTGGCACGTTCCACCTAAACGCGTCATCAGCGTTAGTAACGTTAACGTCACCAAGCAGCATACTACCCCGGCTATGATAAACTTCCGATTCGAACGTTTATTTAGAACATCCATGGCTGAAGTGCTGTTACATGTTAATCTATAGCGATGCTCTCCATCCAAACGTACTCGGATGATACTCTCTCATTCAATTCAAATGGTACGTCAAACCATTTAGGCTCGTGTCGTGTAAGGCAGTAACCTTATCATGAAATCAAACCAGACATTGACCGTTTGCCTTAATCGTATGTACATTACCTCCAAAGATGGTCTATTGATATGACAAATTCTGATATATCATTTTTCAGCTTCCACTGACGGCAACCCTGAGCGAATCCCTGTGTATGACACAATAATTAAATTTAACATCTGACTTCCATTGTACTGAAATGTTCAACTGTACACTTCAATACATTTCTCATGTCGTTTTATAATTTGACCTCAGAAATTTAAGTGTACACGCTCATGATTTCAATCACAGCTATATTAGGTGAAATTTGTGTTTTGAAAATGGATTAAACGTTTCAATGAATCGAAACACGCTATGGTGCCCATTGTGTGTAATTAACATACGTGGCATTGGATATGAATAACCATGGTTGCCATGCTATACATTTATACAAGATAATCAAGTAAAAGTAGCAACTGAATACTCGAGAAACAACGCAGAATGGAAAGGACAAACAATAAATTGCAACATAAACCAAATTCGACAGTAATTTATTTTACTTGTACATTGATGCTATTTTTATTGCCATCGTGCATGGTGATTTATATTGCGATGTCGGCACACCAAAGCCAGTGCAACAACCTTGTGACTGTTTCCATGACAACCACAAATAAAATACAAGAGTTACAAGAAAGTTATGCAAGTCTTCAAGCTGAATATAAACGCCTTACGTTAGAATTTAGTTCGAATATTCTTGATATCAATTCAGAAGTTGGTAAGCTAGAGAAAGACATTATCAGAAATGAAACAAAAACAACGCCCAGACGCTGGATTGATAACTGGGACAAGTAAGTAGAAAACGTGTAGTGCGAGGCAGTAAAAGTGTAAGCTCAAGGTCAATAGCAATATTTAACGAAATCGGTGATATTTTCAAAATGTTATGCGAATATTTACAAATCCTTTTTTTAAAACTATATGTTGAAGTGACAATTCTGCATTCTATTTTCACATCTTTTCTAAAAATGCGGAACCTATATATACCTGTATAGGTAAAAATCATACATTTTGAGCGAGTTTCACATTGCTGATGAACACAAGATATTTTCCTTTGTATTGACTATAACTGTATCTATATATGAAGTAATGAGTGTGTGATTTGACAGCTAAAAACGCACCATGAAGTTCAAAGTTTAAGCAGTCACAGTTGAGTTATGCCTCTTGACAGTAAATGCATTAACTTCCATGCATTAACAAGGTACATGTAATTACGCAGCTGCTTCGTAATAACGTTGACTGAGAACCCCTGTTGTCGTGTCCTGTCCAGTTAAAGTGTGCGCCTGACCCGGCTACGTATAGCACAGAGTTTATACTGGCGGATTAGACTAGTTCATTTTTTATATGTGTGTGAAAGCTTTCTCTTATTTGCGTTTTTTCGTTTAGTACGGTTTTGTTATAATTGCCGAGGTCATATAACCGGGATAAAACAATGATTATCGTTGACTGCCCACACACAAAACATACGTTGAGTGAACAGTGTTATTACAAACAACAGGCTTTAGAATACAAAGCGTAGTGTGATAATAAGCTGCACACTACCACTGCTGCATGTACATATTACTAATTTACTAGGGCTCCCAAAGAGTGGATAGGGAGGTTGTGTTTGTCACTTTTAAATTTTGCATTTCAAAATTGTCATTTTACATTTCATAATTTGTTGGTTTCATTCGTTTAGCCAATCAAAACATTGTAAAACAATAAATTGTCTGTTACGTACAATCAATTTTGTTCAGTTTTGATTAGTTGTCAGAATAAAGTTACGTTCATCTGAATCCATGTATCAAAACAAAAATCCTATTTTCACTTCAAAATACTTCAGTGAGATGAAGGCTCGGAATTGTCACATGCAATAACTTATTGTCGTATTCGTTATTTTATCTTCTCGATAGTAGCATTTAGTCGCACATTTGATGCCAGGTCACCTTGTCGCGTACCTCTTGGGGAACCCCACATTTATGTGTGTACTCATGGAAGTAAATTCCCCGGTGTAGCCGAGAGCCACAAACTTTTCAACAGGTTCGAAATGACCAATTTCTCTCATATATACTCTAAATATTTTATTATTTAGCACCTACAAAGTATTGCTAATAACCATATGTAATTTCAATAAGGAAACTTATCTGGCTACATATAAATTCAATATCAACACTAGCTGTTCTCTCAACACGTCCTGGCTTACCTTGTGGTGACAAACCCTGGATTTTCGCTATTTATAGTTTATCAACACCTGGACGCATGCGCATTTTATACTTTATCGGGCACTTTAAACATAAGAATAAGGTAGCTAATAATTTTTAAACACTCACGTATCATTTGGAGTTGACGATTTGTGACAGTTGAATTAAGGATTTGAGCCTTGGACGGTGTGTTGTGTGCTGAACCAATCCACGAAGATGTGTTTTCCAAATCTTTGCATGACCCCACAGGGGGAATGCAAAGTTTAGGAAACAACATCTTAGTTAATCACTTTAACTTGCACGTTCAAATACAACGTTCAAGCCTGTTTGTGCATGTCGCCAGTGTACAATGCGACACGATATCTGTTAAGGTATCATGGTGTTAAACAGGAAGTAACGAAACAGGAAGTCAGAAAACATGCTGAGTTTTTGAAATTTTTTTGAACTATGGTAACTGAGTTCCGTATTAACCTTAAGTCAGTTTTTCTAGTTTCACACATCATTTACATGTATCATACTTTACCATGTGGCTATTTTCCAGGTTGGCAAACCATCGTCCATCTGTTAAACGTGTACTGTATTTAGTGAGGCATGGAGATTACAACGTTAACTCGGATCATATGCTTACTTCATTAGGTAGGTATATTTTAAGATTTAGTCCCTGTTATTCTGGGCCCGAATCACCGGAATGTACATACGGTAAGTGTCTATAGCTACTTTTGGAATTTTTGCAATTTTATAAGATGTAGACCTTGTGTGGAATGAGTTAAGGTAACTTATAACTTAATCAAAAAATCCAAGATGGCCGAAACCAGGAAGCACATGGCATTTGAGTATAATCTGACCATCAAAATTAACTGTCTTTTGGTTGGATTTTCTCTCAATTTTTTAGTTCCACTTATCATTTATATAACCAGGCTCACTGTGTTAATGCAAATAGAAACAGTAAACATTTTGGAATGGGAATTTGAGTCCTCTGAAAATGTGACAGAAAAATTGACAAAAAGAGTAGCACGGCAAAGGTCCCTGAACATTTTTTTCTAATTTCTCTGAAACATCCTTTTAATATAGCCCAAAATGGAAGGAGCTTTAGAATTTTGAAATCTCTCATACAAATTAAAAAAATAGAAAAAAACAATTTGAGAAGTGTACTTTTTTTGATCCCAATTTTTTTATCGGGTAATTTTTCAAATTTCCGTTGCTCCTTCGTTTTTGATGTATGTTTGAAGTATATTTTCTGAAATGTTCAGATATTTTGAATCAGCGGTTTTTCACGGGCTACTCCTAGAAAAAATCTTCTCAAATTCTTTAAACGGCACTTTTTTCTCAAACTAAAGTTTTTTGTCATGACATCCTATCAAAATGGCCAAACGTACACACTTACCCTTATCATTACGATATGTAATTTGCAAAATCAATAGACTTTGATATAAGATATAATCTTTTCTGTAATTATCATCACAGGCAGGTATCGAAAGATTTGTCCGCTGTGACGGAGCATGCTATTTTTCATAAAAACACTAAGAATGCTTCACGATTTATTTTTTAACTCATATGTTTCGTTATATCAAAGATAATTACTTACTCTATGCAATGGATATATCATTTGCGTTTAACCTTCACTTCTGTTTGAAGTCCAGTAACGCTAGGAGTAAAATCTATTGAAAACGGCGCCAGAGTATCAAACTCTCAAATGAACCATTTCTTTTTTAACCTTTTAATGGCATGATATAGTGACAAGATAATATTTAAGTAACACATTTACGATGTATCTAAAATCTAAAACCTCAAAAAGTAATAGATATGACTATATGTTGTATAAAAAGAGATTTTTCATTTAGATAATCTATTTCCTGTTATGAGTTCGTAAAAAAAACATGGCTCCGAAAAAATATTTCTTGCATCCAAATTTCAAAATGATATATATCCATGGATCAGTTATTTTTGGCACCTGAACCCATCCTAATAGAAAGGTAAGACTATTTTCTTGACTCATATCGCTTAAATTGTCGAAATTCGGCCTAGAATCGTAAATGTGTTACTTTAACATATGTTTTCAGCATAACTCTGAATGTATTAATGATATATTAATGCATTGGGTCTTTTTAATTTTTTTTATAAAAAATAATATTAAAATTTTTTGTCCGCTGTGACGGAGCATTTTCACAGTTCACATTTGCAACTGCTCCGTCACAGCGGACAAAAAAATTAAACATTATTTTTTATAAAAGAATTAAAAAGAGCAAATACATCAACATCTCATTTATACCTTCATAGTTATGCTGAAACCATGTGTAAATATTATCGTGTCACTATATCGTGCCATTAGAAAGTTAAACAAGAAATGGTACATTTTGAAGTATGATACTCCGGCGCCATTTTCAATAGCTTTTCTTCCCAGCGTAATTGGACTTCAAACAGAAGTGAAAGTTACCCGCAAATGATATATCCATTGCATTAAGTAAGTAATTTTGTATGGTATAACGAAAGATATGAGTTAAAAAATAAATCGTGAAGTATTCTTAGTGTTTTTATGAAAAATAGTATGCTCCGTCACAGCGGACAAATATTTCGATACCAGCCTGTGATCATATCTTAAAGCAACCTTTATGTAGAAAGTGAATTAATCCGATAATTCAAAAAAAAATTATGTTTCAGGTCATACACAAGCGAATATTACAGGACAGTGGCTAAAACGGCGGGAGCGAAAATATGCTATTCAATTTAAGCGACTCATTTCGTCTACTTACCACAGATGCGTGCAAACATCTGAGCACATCCTAAAATATTTTCCTACTCTTTTTAACCTGACCGATCAAATGTTGATTGAGGGATGGGCTATTCCTCCTCGAACAAATCTAGATACATTTCCTAAGTGGGAGGAGGTGCGTTATTCATTACTTCTATGACGCCCTTAATTGAACACTTTCACTAAAATTGATAGAGTATGGCTTATGTCTTGGTCACATTTGCTCTGATATTCACTATGGCGCTCGGCCGATTGAGTATTTTGTTAAAAATTGAATAAAATATGGAGCAAAACACTCAATCGGCCGGGCGCCGACCGATG